AAAAGATGATCAGATTATATTTTAAATACAAATTAATTGCTATTCATAATTCATGTTAAAAAGTAAAGATACAGAAAGGTTAAAAGTTTAAAAGATATAGCATAAAGTTACTACTAAAAAAGTGAGTGTAGTTAAGTTAAATCAGACAAATCAAATTTAAGACAAGCCTTATAGATCTAAAAAAAAAGATCATTTCATTTGATAAGTATTGTAACCAACCAGAAAGATACAATATACAGTATTCAAATTTACAAATATCTAAGAAATGACCTAAAATACAAATATATCAAAAATTGGCAGAACTACGAGGTAAAATCTATACTCACAGTAAGATTTTAAAACTAATAATATGATATAGAATATCTGAATGAGAGGATTTAGGAATTTAGTCTAAACGAATACATATAGAACGCTACACCTGACAACCACACAGTACATATGTGTGTGTGTTTTTTTTCTCCTGGGTCAAAAAGAAGATATCAAAGAATTGAAATAAAATAAAAATAAATTGGAAACAATACATTCTAATGAAAATCTAAGTTGCTTATACTCTACCTCAGAATCATACCACAATGCCAAGGAGCATGTAAGTGCCTAAAGCATGGTAGACAGAGTCAGGCGAGGCTGTCCCAGTAGAACACCGAAGGGCTTTTCTATGGAGAGGATAGCATTTGCACTGAGCTTTAGGGAAAACTTGGGTTTTGCTACATGGAAACACAAACATGCAAGACATACCTGGATACTCTTGAATAGAATAATAGTGAGAAAAATTGGACACCTGAAAGGAATAGCAGAATAGAGAACCAGAAAGTCCTTGAGGAATCTCTGGAAGTTTCTAGGTTAGTCAATGGCAATGCCAATCCATTGTGGGGGGAATAAAAAGGATCATCAAAATATAAAGACAGGGTTGTACTCTAAGGGATTTTTGTCACATTTATATACTATAAAGTGTAGTCGGAGCTACTGTAATTTGAAAGGAGTGACAGGTGTTTGAGAAATAATGAGAGAAGAATGTAAAACCCTGTAAAAATTGCTGAGAAACATTGAAAATTGGATAACACTTGTTAAAATAATTTGTCTTCGGAGTATACATCGCAGGCTGTCTTTAGGTCTTTTAGCAAACACACAAACAAAACTCTAGACTGAATCAAAGCTGAATCATTTCCTAAAATCAAACCTGTCGAGACAGAAAACTGGAAGCTGGAAAAGTTCTGGGTGAGTGACAGCTCTATGTCCCCCTCAGTAAGCCCAACCTGCACTCCCCAGGATACAGAGAGCGTTGACTGTACTTTCTGTTGACTTTGGACAATGGGTTTCCCACCTATGCTCACTCTGTTTAAGAGCCTTGATGAACAGTCCTTCAAAGTGATTTCTGAAGCTTTTTTTAGCTTTTGTCCAAGGACTTCAGGCTGGCAGCTCATGAAGGCTGATCTTTAGTTCCACGAATACTCTGTTATCAGCTTCCAGCTCAGACTCCTAGGTTCACTGTGCAGCTGACTGCTTGAAGAGCCATACAATGGGGTGTCACCACCACATGGTTCAGTGACTCCTAACACCTAGCTTGTATTTGTCACAACACCTTCATTCACTGAAATTGTTTGTATAAAGAGTGGCTACCATATCCAAATGCATGCTATATACAAGCTGTCTGAACAAATTAAATTTATATGTCATGTTCTGGATATTTTCTTACATGTTGATGGCCAAAATCTATTAAAGCCAACCCTTCTCTAAAACAAGTTTTCTAATTTTTTAGCTTATATTTTTTTGTATCTCCTGAGGAATTTTCTCTTGAGGCTACTCTGGACAGATTGATTGGTCTCATATATAACCAAAAACCAAACAAAAACAAACGAACAAACAAAAAAACACAAAAACAATGCTGGATTCAACTGTATTAACATTTTTAGTTAACGGATATTTCCTGAAAAGCTAAAATGTACTACTTGCCAATAAATTTTAGTATAGCAACAATTTGTGGATAATATGTTCAATACATCACTTTAAATCTCTGCTCAAGAAATGATAATATGTACTTTCAAGTAGCTTTTCAGAAATTAGAAATATAAATCTTTGAAATATGTAAAAATTATAAATAATATTATCTGTAGACATTATATTCTAATAAATGGAATTTTCAGTAATATATACATATATATGTATATATATAAAATTTTGAATAGTAAAATAGTAACTACATATATATGTAGGTATATATGTATATACATTATATGTACATCCATCCCTATGAGGAGAAATGACCCAAATTTACTTATGTAAAACTTATCACATCATCACTGATGACATTTAGTTTTATGCAACTTAGTAATAGTCATTCTTATATTCACCAAAAGTGATTCATAAAATATTTTTCCAGTCAGGGCACATGCCCAAATTTTGGCTAGATCCCCGGTAAGGGGTGTGCAGGAGGAAGCTGTTTGATGTTTAACTCTCACATCTATGTTTCTCTCTCACATTAGTATTTCTCCCCCTCTCTCTTCTTCTCTCTCTGAAAGTGAATTTAAAAATCTTAAAAAAACAAAGAAAGAACAGCTTATGTAGTGTAGACAGAAAGCTCTGAAAGCCTGAAGGGTCACAGATACCTGGTTGGGATCTGTAAAATGTCAAGGAATGAAATGTCAAGTTAATCTGTAGACTATTTAAACCCAGGTGGCCTTAATATTTCTAGTTATAGAGAATCTGCATTCTTATTCAAAAGAGATTTATAAAATGCTCCTATAATTTAATTGTCATTATTGCTTTACAACTTAAAATGGCACTGTGAAGGGGGGCATTATGTACTACTGTGGCTGAAATGAAATGTCAAGACAATCAATATTTGGCCTAACAGGTCCCCTGAAAACCTGAAAAAAATAGATAATTGTAAATATGCTTACTGTTTCCTAGGTAATGACAGATTGTTTTTTTAAAAACTAATAAAGTATAAAGTATTCTGATGTTTGCTCTTCCTTCTGAGATTTTGCTTTTCCTTCTGAGAAAGATCTGAAGAGGATGAGTCTTC